TCTCTTCTCTTCTTCTCGTCTCCCTCCGTCCCCTCTACCTCTCTCTCCCCTCCACCTCTCCCTCCCTCCCTATCTCCTTCCTTTCCCTCCCCTCCCTTCCACCTGTCCTACCTCTCCCTCTCCCCCCCCCTCCACCTCCTTCCCCTCCTCCTAATCCTCTCCATGTATTTCCCCTCCCTCCCGTCTTCTCTCCGTAGGACCGCCGTCTGGGGGATGTGTCTAGCACACCGACAAAGTCTGGACGGGTACTCAACAACCTTCTCTCTGCATCTGCTCTTTGTTGCATATCTTTTCTTTTCTTCTTTTTCGTTTTTTCTTTGTTTTAAACTTTTGTATTTTGCTTATTTGAAAAGAAAAATACCCTCCGCACAACAAAACACTTGTTTCTTTTCTTTTTTCCCCCCTCCTTATTTTTGTCGGTAGCAACGAGAATGTATGTTCTAAAGAAATTTGTTGACTAAAATAGTGTAACCCGCATTTTCGTACAATATCACCGGCAACATGTTCATTCATATGTGCTAAGCCCAGAAAGCGAATCTTTTACTGGACAGAAAAAACAACAGCCAAGACCTGTTTTATCCTTTTCACTTTTCATAACGGTGGGTGGTTGGCGGGTGCTCTGATGTGGTTTGCTCCTTCTTTCGGTCCTATCAAATATCTATCGTCCTGATCTCCCTTCCTTCTTTTTGTGTTTGTTACTCTCTTGTAACACCTCTAATCTTCGGCACTTAAATACATGACCTAATTGTGTTGCCAGTGCCGTAAACTTTTACTAAAACTAAAAACTTTTAATAACACTACCTTTACTTTGTAGTATTTTTTTCTAGCCTTTTTTAGGATTGATAATTTGAATTTGGATAAAATATTTCTGGAGTACATGTGTCCCAAATCATAGGTTAAGTTTCTGCAATGAAAAATACTGGTAAAAAAAAGAATCTCTAAAAAAAACTTGGGCTGAGTACAATGTATCAGGTTGCCGGTGATGTTTCTGTCTGTCTGTGTTGTCGAAAGCACCTGTCACTTGACATGACTTCACTCCCTAGCTGTTTTGTTTGTTTGGGTTTTTTTTCTTTTTCTTTTTCTTTCTGTATCTGCACTACCAATGTTCTGCTGTCTTCTTGATTTTATTTCTGTCGTTCTAATGGCGCTCGTAAAACTCTGACCAACTTATGAACTAACTCTAACATTGTTTACTTATCTTGTATTTCTCCTTTTTTTAGGGGCTTTGATGATTTTTGTTTCTTTTTTGACCAGGCTTCGAAAAATCTGATTTAGCTTGATTTTTTAAATAGAAATGTACAATTTTTTGGGCTATTTTGGATTTTGGATTTTTCCAAAAAGGTAGTTGGGAACAGACTTGAGTCTTCATAGGTGCCGAGGAATTATCGCTGTCTGGTTCCTCGGTTGTTATTTTCTTACTTTATTATTCTGTCTGTCACAGTACAAAGTTTCAGTTTATATAATATTGATATTATTGTGCACGTGTGTGTTTGCATTTAGTTTATACATACTCATACACACACGTGTGTGAATTACACACCCAACACACTTTAAGTCAAATTTGTAGCCGACAAGACGGAATCACTTTTTGGAAGTGTTACTGATATG